ATTTGCGATTGTTGCTCAGTTGGATTGTCGAGATTTTCTTGATATTATCTTGATTGGAGGTTATTGCGTTGCTTGATCTGGTTTCTTGATGTGCCTCTTGCTTGCATACGTATTGTTGTTCGTCTGTGGAGAATCCTGTTGACAAATTGTGTGTTTTGGTTGTTTTCTGAGTCTTGACGATACGTTGATCTTTTACAGTCATCATGGTTACAGTTGCTCAATTAGCACTTACTCAGTCACCAATTTCTTCGCTGATTCCTAGTGTTGGTAACACTGTCACTGTCAAATTGGATGATTCCAATTATGTTACCTGGAATTTTCAAATGGGACTTTTATTAGAGGGAAATGGAATTTTTGGCTTTGTGGATGGATCCATTCCTTGCCCAGATAAATATCAGGATTCTGATTCTGAGGACGAAACTGTTACTCATTCACATCATATTACTGATGATTACAAAGTATGGAAGATTCATGATAAAGCTCTCATGACTCTCATCACTGCTACATTGTCCACTGCTGCTCTGTCCTGTGTTATTGGTTGTCAAAGTTCACAGGAAATGTGGAATAATCTGAGGGAACAGTTTTCTAACATGACTAGAACCAGTATTGTTCAAATGAAGATTGACCTGCAGAACATAAGGAAAGGGTCCGAGTCTATTGATTTGTATCTGCAGTGAATCAAGGACTGTAGGGATCAACTTGCTGCTGTTGGAGTGTTTATTTCCGATGAGGATATTGTAATTGTTGCTCTTAAAGGGCTTCCACATGAGTTTAATACTATCAAGGCAGTTATAAGGGGCAGAGAGAATCTTGTGTCTTTAAAAGAATTGCGCTCCCAATTGAAAGCTGAAGAGGCTACTTTGGACGAAGTTATTAAACAGGCTCCTATAATGTCTGCTATGTATGCTTCTAATTCAGTCTATGATGTTGGGGGATCATCTGGTGGTGCCGCACATAATGCATCTCAGCATTCTTTCAATGGTTCCCATTTTCCGATCTCTTCAACCCCAATGTTTCAACAAATGCCATTTCCTAATCAAATGTTCCAGATGAATAGTCCTCTTGCTTTTGTATCTCAGGGTGGTTCAGGGACTTATAACAATTTCAGGGGGAATAACTTCAAACCAAAGGGGAAAGGCAAGAAATTTTATAATAATTTTCAGCAACCTCAACAAACTGGTGCTTCATTTCCACAACAGTCATCATCAAATAATTTTCATCAGGGCTCTTCTTTTCAGTCTGTCCATTCTCCTCTGCCTACTGAGCAAGTGTATCAACCTTTGCAGATTTGTCAAATATGTAATAGGAAAGGTCATAGTGCTCTTCATTGTTTTCAAAAAGGGTGTCAAATTTGCAATCGGAAAGGGCATACTGCTGCACCTTGTTTTGATCAAAATAGTGGTTTTTCTTCGATGGTGCCTCCCCAGTTTTCTTCATCGTCACAAGGGTTCTCTCCACAGCAATTTCAACCCTCTCAACAGGCTACTTTTCCTACACCATTTCCACCTGCCCATGTGGTTCATCCTCCTCAGTTTCATCCTGCAATGATGAGCTCTCAAAATCATTCTCCGGTTGCTACGACTGCGCAGTCTACTTCTTCTCCCTCTGCACCACAGCAAGAGTATTGGTTACTTGACTCAGGGGCCACACATCACATGACTTCTGATTTGTCTAACATTCAAATGGCTGATCCTTACTCATCCTCTGATACTGTCATTGGTGCTAATGGAGAAGTTTTACATATTGCTCATATTGGACATTCTACTCTTCCATTACAGTCTCATAATCTTTGTCTCAAATCTGTCTTACATGTACCTCAATTATCACAACATTTATTGTCTATGCATCAACTGTGCAAGGATAATAATTGTAGGTGTATTGTTGATGAGTCTTCTGTGTGCATACAGGACAAGGTCACTCAGGAAATTCTGTATCGATGATTGAGTAACAATGTTGTCTATCCTTTACCAGTAATGAAGTCTTCTCATGTTTCTCCCGCAGCATATATTGGACAAAGAATAAATTCTGCACTCTGGCATTGCAGATTGGGTCATCCTGCTCCTTCAGTAGTCAAGGCAGCTCTTTCTAAGGCCGATATTCCTTTTCAGTGTCTCGATTCTTCCTATACTTGTAAAGCTTGTTTACAAGGCAAATTTGACAATCTCCCTTTTCCTTATTTGGCTTCAAAGTCTGTAATTCCTTTTGAAGTCATTCACACTGATGTTTGGGATCCGTCACCTAGTTTGTCTAGTGAAGGATATCGGTATTATGTGTCCTTTATTGATGAATGTACAAGGTACACATGGATATTTCCTATCATGAATAAAGCTGCTGTTTTTGGTATGTTTGTCCAATTTCAAGCTTTTGTGCAAAATTTCTTTAATGTTCATATCAGAATATTGCAAAGTGATGGTGGTGGAGAGTATATTGGGATTCATTTTCAGAATTTTCTTAAGGACAAGGGTATTTTGCATCATAAGTCTTGCCTTTACACTCCTCAACAAAATGGGCTCGTAGAGAGGAAAAATCGGCATATTACCGAGACAGCTATCACTCTTCTTCAACACTGTCTTCCTCCTCAGTTTTGGTACCATGCATGTGCCACAGCAGTATATCTTATTAATCGAATGCCTACACCGGTCTTGTCTATGAAGTCTCCCTTTGAAGTGTTATATCATTCTTCACCCAAACTAGATCATTTGAAGATTTTTGGTTGTGCTTGTTATCCGTCATTGAAGCCTTATAGATCTCATAAGCTTGCACCAAAGACCAGTGAATGCATATTTTTGGGATATGATGCTTAGTATAAAGGGTGTATCTGCTTTAATCCTAAAGACAATAAACTAATTGTCTATCGGCATGTTCTATTTGATGAACGTCATTTTCCTGCGACTTATATGGCTAGTCATTTTGCCTCTGGTTCCAAGGTGGCTTCCATGTCTTCCACCGTACCCTCCAATACTTTTCATCATCCTCCTTTAGCATCTATACCGTTTCCACAAGTGTTCTCCAGGGATTCCAGTTCTCAGCATAGTCCTCCAGTATGTTCTTCAGCACCAAGTGAGTTTGTTTCTTCTGGTACCATTCCCTCACTACCAGGGGATGTTTCTTCTGGTACCATTCCCTCACTACCAGGGGATATTTCCATGGATCACATGTCCAGTGCAGCTATTTCTGGTCAAGTTATGTCTGAGTTACATCCTGATACTCATCTGTCTCAAGTGTCTGAGTTGCAACAAGTTTCTGTTGTTGCTGTTAACTCTCATCCTATGCAGACTCGATCCAAGTCGGGCATTTTTAAGAAAAAGCAGGCCTTTTCTGTTGACGTTCAATCTGGTGCTCAAGAACCTCAGTCATACTCTGCAGCATGTAAATTGTCAGAGTGGCGAGGAGCAATGCAGGAAGAAATAGATGCTCTTCTTCAGCAGAAAACTTGGACCTTGGTTCCTCTTCCCCCCGATAAGAAATTGGTTGGGTGTAAATGGATTTATAAGATAAAAAAAACATCCTGATGGTACTGTTGCTCGGTACAAAGCCAAGTTAGTGGCTAAGGGATTTTCACAAGAGGCTGGGTTAGATTATTATGAGACTTTTAGTCCTGTGGTTAAACCTACCACAGTGAGACTTCTCCTTTCTTTAGTTGCTTCTAATGGTTGACAACTCAAACAATTGGATGTCAAAAATGTTTTTTTACATGGCTTTCTTGACGAGGAAGTCTATATGGCTCAACCTCAGGGTTTTGTAGATCCTCTTCACCCCACACATGTATGTAAACTCCAAAGATCTCTATATGGGTTGAAGCATGCTCCCCGAGCCTGGAATGAGCGTTTTACTAAATTTCTTCTCACTTTGGGCTTCAAATCCTCTTATGCTGATCCATCCTTGTTTGTCAAGTCTGAGAATCAATCTATTGTTGTTCTTTTGTTGTATGTGGACGACATTATTCTTACAGGCAATAGTGTTGCTGGGGTTCAAAGTGTGATACAACAGTTGACTGCATAGTTTGATATGAAAGATCTTGGTCTTCTACATTATTTTCTTGGTTTACAGATTGAGTATCGTTCCAGTGGTATTTTTGTCCATCAATCCAAGTATATCACGGATTTGTTACACAAGGCAGATATGTTCCATTGCAAGTCGTGCCTTACTCCATGTCATCCTAATCACAAGCTGTTGACTCATGGCAGTACCTTACTCTCATATCATTTCAAATATTGGAGTATCGTTGGGGTTCTTCAATATCTAACTTTTACTCGACCTGACATAGCCTATTCCGTGAATCAGGTTTGTCAGTTTATGCATGCTCCTCTTGAAGATCATTTCATTGATGTTAAAAGGATCTTACGATATCTCTGTGGCACTATGCATCTTGGTATCCATTTTACACCTGGATCTCTTGATATTAAAGCATATACTGACGCTGATTGGGCTGGAGACCCCAATGACCGACGTTCCACCACTGGTTTTGTTGTGTTTTTGGGTTCTAATCCTATTTCTTGGAGTTCCAAGAAACAATACAGTGAGTCGCTCGTCTACTGAAGCCGAATATCGTGCTATGGCCACCACTACTGCTAAAATAGTATGGATTCAACAGCTGTTACTGGATCTGCATATTTCATGTCAATCTGTACCCCTTCTTCATTGTGATAATCTTTCTGCTATGGCATTGGCTACTAATCCTATCCTTCATTCCAAAGCCAAGCACATCGAGATAGATTGCCATTTTGTTCGTGAACGAGTTCAACAAGGGACAATCATGCTTCAGTTTGTCTCTACCACAGAACAATGTGCTGATGTGCTCACCAAAGGTTTATGTTCCTCTCAGTTTCAGGTTCATTGTTCCAATCTTATGTTGGGTTCTTCCCTTCATAAGATTGAGGGGGAATGTTAGGGAATGACTTAGGTTAGTGCCAGGTGTCATTAGTAGAGTAGAGAATATGGAGTTAGTTATAAGGTGATTGTATTTATATATAAGGGATGTAAACATATGGTGACTGATATCTTGGAATATACATAACATTCTTTTACTCTCTCTCCTTCCTCTCTCTACATTTTCTCTCTGTACTTTCCTTCATTACTGTTGACAGTATTAAATAGTGGTCGAATTAATTTAATCACTCTACTAATCCTTCCAAAAGGAGGGGATTATTAGTCCGTTCCCTTCCCTCTCTCTCTCACTTGGTTCTCCACGACACCTGCTGTCTCCGTCGTCCCTCTCGCCGTCGTCGTTCTCCCCGTCGTCGTTCTTGCCGGCACCGTCAGGCACGCAGGCTTGACAAAAACGACTTTGCTCCCCTGATTTTAATTTTGTTTATCATTTTCGTCCAATCGTTGTAAAAGCTGCCGGCAAATAGCAGCAGCATCTGCAATCAGCCATGGGTAAGGTTCACGGGTCGCTCGCGCGTGCCGGGAAGGTCAGGGGTCAGACCCCGAAGGTCGCCAAGCAAGACAAGAAGAAGAAGCCCAGAGGCCGCGCCCACAAGCGCTTGCAGTACAACCGGAGATTCGTCACCGCCGTTGTTGGATTCGGGAAGAAGAGGGGGCCTAATTCTTCTGAGAAGTAAGGCCGCTCTTTGGGGAGTTTTGCTGTTTTCGTATGAGGCATTAGTTTCATCTGAAGTTTCAGATTATGGTTTGACATTATCTACTGCTTCTGTTTCGTTGTTCTAAATCGAAGCATGTTTTGATTTCCGGATTGGGAATGCATATTTAAAATAAAAAATCGTTGTAAAATCTCATGAGGATGATCCAGTCAAAGGTCTAATGCTTAATTTTCCTTAAATTAATGTCATAATTAACGGTTAAGAGAAATCTGGGGAAGTGAGGGTGTTGGGGTGTGCGGCGGAGAGATCTGGAAAGACAAATGATTTCAATTTTTTTTAAGTTTGATTTAAATAAGGGAAGATTCTGTTCATTTTTAATTTGACCCATTTGGTGGTTGTGAATGTGTAAAAATTTATTTCCATTAATCATCAATTTTATGTAATAATACTTTGAATTATAAATAATACGATTGTTAATCTGATATTGTATTTAATGTCAATAAATTCAATCAGTACTATCGATAACTATAAATAATCAGAACAGTTCTGCTATCAAACGAAGAAGCGTAACTCACTCTCAAATCTTCTGGCAATATCCCAATCACACTTTTATCTCTATCAGTCTCCGCCGCACGATCTGACCTGGAGGTTTAGACCGTGACCAATGAATGGGCCACAATATAGTCCACGAAGATGTTTGATATTGCATGAGTAGTAGAATGCTCAGTATACTGTAGTTGTGATATATGGATGAGGATACTCGGGAATTCAAAGGATTCTCGCGTAATGATCATTTATCGTAAATCGTGCAATCAGTTTTTATTAGGTATTATTTATGTTTAATTTTAAATAAATAAATTTAAAATAATTTATAATCGCACAATGCATGATAAATGGTTAAGATATGAAGATCCTTAAGATTCTCACAACTTGAATTCGGATGAGATCCAAATCCGTGATATGTTATATGACATGGTTTACAAGCTGATCGCTCAGGTAGGAAAATATTGGCCAAGTGGTAGCTGATGTTGCATTGCATCAGTAGTAGATTTGGTCATGATAACATGGGGTATGAAAGCTAAAATGTCAAAGCATAGATGCCATTATCTACAACTAGCTTTCATGCACGCGCTCACGCACGTGCAGAAGGTATTTTTTGAATCACGCTGTGTTGCGCGCAACTTACATATTTTAAATATATTTATATGCGTGAATTGACAAAAGAAAAGTCAAATATTTGAAGTAAATGAATAATCTTAAATCATGCTATAAAAAAAAACCCCTCACAAACCAATCAACCAGCTGAATTCACATAATAAAATCGATCTTTCAATTTCCATCTACATTCTATTGTAGATAGTATCGTTTGTTCAAAAATAAAAAAAATCATTTGACAACTAATTTAATCACATTATTATGTGTGTGCGAAAAACATTTTTTTTATAACCAACATTATACTCCTCTTAAAATGTTTTGAACGTGTTTAAAAATAGAAAAAATAATATTTAATGAACAACTGATTGAATCACATTATTACTAGCATATTGTGAAGTACTAATTAAAAATAATAATTGTACAAAAAAAATTAATTATTAAAAAAATATTGTTAAAATGATGAAAATATCCTGCATTATTTGGTACATTATTTTTTGTTGCTTTTGAAATTTTTTGTTTTAGGGACATTTTTGTTCAATTTTTTTTGTTCAAGTCAAGCTTGTGATCCCAAAAAAGGTTGTAGCTTTATATATAAGGAGATGGATTCTCTACTCTCCCACTTTCCATACACTTCCATCATTTGTTGTTGTTTGTGTGGTTACAGTTAAGTTACGTTAATATTTTATATTATTATTATTTTTTGTTTTACTATCTTTATTAAAAAATTAATATAAAATATTAACGTGGTTTAATCGTGACCACATAAACAGTGAAGAATGAAAGTGTATGGGAAGTGGAAGATAAGAGATTCCATCTCCAATATAAAGATTGTGAGAACTCTTTATTTTTATTTTATGTATGGAATGGTGTAATGTAATCAATCAATACCTTATTAGAGGATGGGGGCCTAGTTGCAGTGGCCAAAGAAACTCCCACCTCACCCAAGTTCGATTCCTCCCACCCCCAAGCTTAACTAATGACAAAAAAAGAAAAAAATCAATACCTTATTAAGCCACTAGACTAAAGTAGAATGATTGTCTTTTCAAGTTTGTCTGATTGTAATCAATCAATCAAAATTTTATTAAGCCACTAGACTAAAGCAGAATGATTCAATCTTCCATCCAACTTCTCATACACTTTCATCATTCACTGTTTGTATGTTCACAGTTAAATCACGTTAATATTTTATATTAATTTTTTAATAAAGATAATAAGATAAAAAATAATAATAATATAAAATATTGATGTGGTTAAATCGTGACCACAAAAACAGAGAATGATGGAGGTATATAAGAAGTGAGAGAGTAGAGAATCCATCTCCATTTACTAGAGCACTAGCAAACGGACATTGATCCTCTCGGGATTCATGTGTCATAATCTTAGAGATCTACCTATTTGGATCATTGAAATTTAATTAAACAATTAAAATGATTATAACTTTTAAAGTGAATCTTTTTTAACTATTAAATTAAATTTTAATGATTCAGATTGATGAATCCCTGGGATTAGAACACATAGATCTGGAGAGTATCCATGTCCGTAGCAAACTATCAGCTTTCAATTATTGAGACCAGCAGTAACATATTGACCGGTCTTCGTTTTCATTTTATAAATGCAATTATATGTGAGTGGCTGCATATAGAACACATGGATCTGGAGAGTATCCATGTCCCTAGCAAACCATCAGCTTTCAATTATTGAGACCAGCAGTAACATATTGACCGGTCTTCGTTTTCATTTTATAAATGCAATTATATGTGAGTGGCTGCATATAAAGACTAGCAGGAGAAGCCAATCTTTCACTACGCAAAACCATATTCTCACTTACAAGCTTCTACTTCACTACATTTTTGTTTTTTCTTGTCCTGAATCCAAGAAATGGCGGAAGGAGTTCTCTTCAACGTTGCAGGAGGGATCATTGAGAGGCTAGGCTCCCTTACTTTCAAAGAGATTGGATTGATTTGGGGTGTCAAAGATGAGTTCCAGAAGCTTAAGGAGACAGTTGCAGGATTTCAAGCTGTTCTTCTTGACGCTGAGCAAAAGCAAGCCAACAATGAAGTCAAACTGTGGCTCGAAAGCGTAGAAAATGCAGTCTATGAAGCCGATGACGTACTGGATGAGTTTAATACTGAAGCACAAATGGTGCCTAGAAATACAAAGATGTCAAAAAAGGTACGCACCTTCTTCTCTCACTTACTCAAATCAGCTTGCTTTTGGGCTAAAAATAGGATCATAAAATGAAAAATAGAATTAATCTCAGTTTACTATCATAAGGTTTCGTGGTTTCAACCTTTGGTACATGATTTTTTTTTCATTACAGAGTCATACCTCAAATCTTTATTTTGGGACAATCTCATATATCCGTTAAATTTTCCGTCAAAACCTCTATTAACTGATGACGTGGCATCCATATAGATAATGATTGAACATCATGCCTTAATGTAAGGCTATGTGAACAATAAAAGTTAAAAAAATAAAAACTTAAAAACTTTAAATTTTAAAAGTTTAAAATTTGAAAAAATAAACCTTAACCTTCCTCTCCCCCTTTCTTTTTCGACTCCCTCTCCCTCTCCCCCTTTGTCTCCACAACCACCACCTTCTCCACCATTCCTCTCCTAACCCCCACCGTCTTCTTCCTCCTCCTTATCCTGCACCCCAACCCAGACCCAGACCCAAACCCAAACCCACCATGTCCTCACCCACCGAACCCATATCTCGCAAGTTCCCACCGCCCTCAACGCCCAATCGGACCCAGGCACCAATTAGGGATACTTTCATCGTTTCTTTGCTTTTTCCGTTGTCGTTTTGTAGTTGGTTGGATGCGTTTCGGATCTCGATCTGGATTCTGGAATTATGGATACTCGTAAAAGAGGGCGGCTTGAAGGTTTTGGCTTTAACTCTAAAGGCACCTTCAAGAAGAACAAGCAAGGTTCGCTCTTTGCTTTCTCTCACTCTGTTCTTGTGATTTTGGTCAATCTATTGTTTTTTGTTGGTTTGGGTTTGAAGCGGGAGAAGAGGGAAAGGATCATAGGGACGAGATTCGATTGGGCGTTGAGGGTGGTGGGAACTTGAAGAAGGAGGCGCCGTCACTCAAAAACAACCAGAACCCGCCGTCCCCACTCCTACGCCAAGCTCAGATTTGCAGAGACTGGAAACTGGAAAAATTGGGAGATTTGCAGAAACTGGAAAATTGAGAAATTAGGATTAGAATTTCTGGGCTGTTAGTGTAAATTCATGGCAGATTAAGGATTGAGATTAAGGGTTAATTAATCTCCCTGTGAAATTGGATTCACATGGGATTAGGGTTTTTGTAATCTGAGAGAGCTTGAATAAATTATAATGGGCCTGAGGATGGGGGCCAGTGCAGTGGCACTAGAGCCAAGAAAACTCCCACCTCATCCAAGGTTCGATTCCCCCCACCCCCAAATTTAACTAATGACCGAAAAAAAATCAATGGCGTGAGAAAGAGAGAGGCAAGTGCGTGAGGGATATGTAGGGCCAAACTTTTAGGGTTTTTTTTTTTAATTTTTTAATTTTTTATGTTTACGTGGCACCATATTGATACATAGCGTCATGTCATTGTTCACGTGGACACCGCATCATTAGTTAACAAAGGTTTTGACAACTTAAAGGATGCATGAGACTGTCCTAAAATTAAGACTTGAGGTATGACTCTTAAATGAAAAAAACTTCATGTATCATATGTTGAAAATCACGAAACTTCATTTTACAAACTGAGAATAACCCTAAAAAATATTAACAAGAGGTTTGGTGAGAATGCATCTCGTAGCACCCTATCATAGTCACATACGCCTATTGATATCAACCTATTAGGAATACAATAAGTCTCTCAGTAACTCATAATTAACTGCAAAAGTCCTCTATATTATTGTCTTGAATGTTTCATATAACTTACCGTTACAAAACTCTATTAACTTAATTAATACAATTCTATCAAATTAATGATTATGTTTACTTAAATTCTTACAGGTGCGTCTTTTCTTTTCTAGCTCAAATCAACTTGTTTTTGGGCTAAAGATGGGTCATAAGATAAAAGATATTAACAAGAAGCTTAGTGAAGTTGCATCTCGTAGACCCAATGACTTAAAAGATAATTGTGTAGATACACACTTTATAATGAGAGAGAGGGTCGGTCACTCATTTGTTCCTAAGGAAAATATTATTATAGGGAGAGGTGAAGATGAAAAGGCAATAATCCAACTTTTGTTGGATCCCATATCAACTGAGAATGTGTCAACCATTTCCATAGTTGGATTTGGAGGATTGGGGAAAACTGCACTTGCCCAACTCATATTCAACGATGATGTGATTCAAAATCATTTTGAGTTGAAAATATGGACATGTGTCTCTAACGTATTTGAGTTGGATATAGTTGTTAAGAAAATCCTTCAATCTGAACATAATGGGATAGAGCAGTTGCAAAATGATCTTAGAAAAAAAGTAGACGGGAAGAAGTACCTACTGGTGTTGGATGATGTGTGGAATGATGATCTGGAAAAATGGCTTAGCTTGAAGTGTTTGTTAATGGGTGGGGGAAAAGGTAGTAGAATACTAATTACCACTCGTAGTGAAATTGTTGTGACGATATCAGACACAGCTAAACCATACATCTTAAGGGGTTTGAATGAAGAGCATAGTTGGTCTTTATTTAAGAAAATGGCTTTTAAAGATGGAAAAGAGCCAGAGAATTCAACAATTAAGGCAATTGGGATGGAGGTTGCAAGAAAATGTCAAGGAGTTCCACTCGCTATAAGGACGATGGGTGGAATGTTGCGCACCAAAGATCATGAAATAGATTGGTTGAATTTCAGAGAAAAGAAACTTTCAAAAATAAGCCAGAAAGAAAATGAAATTTTACCGACACTTAAACTAAGTTATGATGTGCTCCCATCACAGTTGAAACATTGTTTTGCTTATTGTAGCATGTTCCCACCTGATTATGAGATCTCTGTACAAAGATTGATTAAACTTTGGGTGGCGCAAGGGTTCATTAAGTCATCCGACAAAAACGAGTGCTTAGAGGATGTTGCGTATGAATATTTTAGGGAGTTGTTGTGGAGATCGTTTTTTCAAGAAGAACAGGATGAGTTTGGTATAATAAAAAGTTGTAAAATGCACGATCTCATGAACGAACTTGCAAACTTTGTGTCGGGAGACAGAAGCGCCATAGTTGATCTGAACCAAAAGAATTTTCATGAAAAGCTTCATCACGTGTCTTTCAATTTTGATATTGATTTGTTGAAATGGGAAGTACCAACTTCCTTGCTAAAAGCAAATAAGATACGAACTTTTCTTTTTCCTTGCCAAATTCCTTTCAGAAATAGAGATGGGTCATTATGTGATTCATTTTGTGCTACAATTGTTTCAAATTTTAAGTCATTGCGTATGTTGAGTCTCAATGAATTAGGAATTACAACATTACCTAATTGTCTTAAAAAGATGAAACATTTGAGATATCTTGATCTTTATGGTAATCCCATCAAGAGACTTCCAGATTGGATAGTTGGACTTTCGAATTTGGAAACACTAGATCTCAGTTGGTGTTCTATGCTTGTGGAATTGCCTAGAGACATTAAAAAAATGATCAACTTAAGGCATCTCATCTTGGAATGCTGTTGGGGATTGACTGGAATGCCACGTGGAATTGGTGAATTGAATGGTGTTCGTACATTGAATAGATTTGTTTTGAGCGAAAGCAATTGTTTGGGGAGGGGCGGTAGTGCTGGTCTTGCTGAGCTGGGGGCCCTTAACGAATTAAGGGGAGAGTTGGAGATAAGGAATTTGAGGCATGTGGTGTCAGAATCAAATGTTGGTACACCTCTCAAGGACAAACAGCATCTCCATTCGTTGGAATTGTGGTGGAAAGAGGAAGAAGATGTAAAGGCCGTTGATGAGGAGGATATTATAAAGTCAATGGAAGTATTGCAACCCCATTCTAATCTAAAGCAGTTGTCCGTGTATAACTATAGGGGTGTGAGGTTTGCGAGTTGGTTTTCTTCTCTCATTAATATTGTTAATCTCAAATTGAGTAATTGTAAGAGATGCCAACATCTTCCACCCTTGGATCATTTGCCTTCCCTTAAGAAACTTGAACTTCGAAGTTTGGAGAAGTTGGAGTACATATCAGAGAAAGAGAGCAGTAATAGTATGAGTGATGAGATGATGAGGATCTCATTCTTTCCCTCCCTGGAAAATCTCTTTATATCTCAGTGCCCTGTTCTGAAGGGATGGTGGAGGGCCCATACTCATAACACTGCTTCTTCTTCATCAACGGAAAATTTGTCCTTGCCTTCTTTTCCCCGTCTTTCTCGATTGATTGTCAGGAATTGTCCTAATCTAACTTCCATGCCTCTGTATCCAAATGTGGAGAGCATAGAACTTAGGAATACCAGCTGGAAGGTTGTTGAATCCTTGTTTGTTAGAGGAGCATCTGATATTACACATGATGTTGGTGTTGATGTTTCTGCCTCTTCTTCTTCCCCTCATCTCTCCAAATTAACACATCTGTCACTCTGGGGAATTGAGGATTTGGAATTTATACCGTTGGAAGGGATGGGCAATCTGACGTCACTTCAGAAGCTTGTAATTGACCATTGCCCAAATTTGGCAGCACTACCGGAAGGGATCGCTAACCTCACATCACTCCAATCACTTTCCATTGGAAACTTCCCAAATTTGGCGGTACTACCAGAATGGATCGCGAACCTCACATCACTACAATCACTTTCAATTGAAAATTTCCCAAATCTGGCAGCATTACCAGAAGGAATCGTCTTCCTCACATCACTCCAATCGCTTAGGATTGAAGATTGCCCAACTTTGGCAGCACTACCAGAAGGGATCGCCAACCTCACATCACTCCAATCGCTTAGGATTGAAGATTGCCCAAATTTGGCAGCACTACCAGAAGGGATCGCCAACCTCACATCACTCCAATCGCTTAGGATTGAAGATTGCCCAACTTTGGCAGCACTACCAGAAGGGATCGCCAACCTCACATCACTCCAATCGCTTAGGATTGAAGATTGCCCAACTTTGGCAGCACTACCAGAAGGGATCGCCAACCTCACATCACTCCAATCGCTTTCCATTGGAAATTTCCCAAATTGGGCAGCACTACCAGAAGGGATCGCCAACCTCACATCACTCCGATCGCTTTCCATTGGAAATTTCCCAAATTTGGCAGCACTACCAGAATGGATCGCCAACCTCACATCACTCCGATCGCTTTCCATTGGAAATTTCCCAAATTGGGCAGCACTACCAGATGGGATCGCCAACTTCACATCACTACAATCGCTTTACATTGAAAATTTCCCAAATTTGGCAGCACTACCAGAAGAAATAAGCAATCTCACGTCACTGCATTACCTTCAAATTACTCATTGCTCTAATTTGGCATCACTGCCAGAAGGGATTCGTGGACTCCCCTGTTTAAATACATTGTACATTTATGATTGCCCCAAGTTACTCCAAAGATACAAGCAAGAAAGAGGTGAGTACTGGCACAAGGTTGCTCACATCCCATACCTTATTATTGATTAAGGTGCGTTTTCTATTGTGAAATATTGAAATGCGAATCTCGTTTCTTAATTTTATTCTTCATTCATCATCAGTAACATTTTATTTTTGTTTTCAGATGACATGCTATGTGGATAAATGATTCCGTCCACACTTCTGCTTTCTCATTGAGCAACACTAGTTCCACGGTGAAGTGGTATGCATTTCTTATCCACTAACTTCAATCTTTTTTTCAATTTTGACCCCCCCAAAAAAATTGAAATCATTATTTTGATCCAATAATATGTTCTTCATCGGCATCTTTGATCTATTTTCTGTTACATCGCATCTAAATTAATAATTTTGATCCAAAAAAAAAGAATCTAAATTAATCAACTTATGTGGATGATTTGATGAATTTGGTTCTTCTGTTTTTCGTGGCATAAATAGGGTGTTCATCTAGCGCTTTTTGTGATGTAGTGTTGTGAAGATTGTGACGGAGCAAATACTTTCGTGGCCCATGGCAGGTAAATGGACCTTAGAACATTCTTCAACAGTTCTCTTTATTTTTACATTTCTTTCTTTCATTGTTTTCTAAATACCCATCTAACTTTCTCTAATTGTCTTTTTCAGGTGCTAAACTTGATAATTGTGGATAATGGTCCGAATACAACAGATTTGGGTATGAAAATTTGAATATATATTGGATATGGAAAAGACTGAATATTATTTGGTTATGGCTTTGAATATGGTTATAGGGATTCCCGATTTGTATCCGTCCCCGAATCCAATCCAAATAATATATATATATATATATTTAGTATTCCCGAATCCATTACCTTGAGAATACAAAAGTTGCATTGTGTGAGTTGCATTTTGTGGGATGTTCAAAGTTTTGAATTAAAATCAGTGAGAATTCAATGGTACTAAACCAACATCATCAATGTTTTAAATTCAATACTTTAGTTTTATACTCCACAAGATCCGTTCATTGAATCATTTCAAAATTTGAATGTATAGCTCACTATTTGGTGCTCCCTGATCTGCAGTTTTCAGGTTCTGTTGAAATTTCCTTTCTTGAAACTAACTATTGGGTAAAGTTATGAATATCCAAGGGATACATTTTAAATTAGGCTCTAATGTGCTTCAAACTCAATTGAACTTGGTTACTGGCTGTTCTTGATCTTAACCAGGTGATGCATGGTTCTTAAATTCTCCAGAAGAATCGCTGGGATTCATCCTTGCAGATGAAGGTTTCAATGTATGGGTAGGGAACGCGCATGGAACACGTTGGAGTCATGATCACACATCTTCATCAGAAGAGAATAATGTTTATACTTTATTTTAGGATTTTTAGGATTGGAGTTGGCAGGAATTGGCTCTATTTGATCTATCAGAAATGATGCGCTGCATATATTTGACAACAAGCTCCAAAGTCTTTGTTGTTGGACGTTCACAGGTCTTACACCTCTTCATCTACTTCACTTCTCCTTCCCTTGCAGCTACTTTTGGTGTTTACACAATTTATTCATGTTATTAGGGAACAATCATGTCTTTAACTGCTCTCAGCCAGCCAGATATAGCAGAACTAGTTGAAGTTGCCGCTCTTTTCATCCAATATCATACTTGGAGCATCACTTCTAAATTTGCACCTAAAATAGTCAACATATATGTTGATCAGGTATTTCTTATCTTCTTCAAAGTATAGCGCATGAATAGCTTCTGTAATAAAATTGATGCATATTATGTTCCATCTTTTCGGATGATTCTTTTTACTCAATGTTATGTCATTTTATTAGTAGTAATCTAGTTGTCTTCTGTACATTATATGCAGTGAATGGGACGTCAACCTTTTGGATTCAATATGTGATGGCCATGTTGACTGCTTTGTGTGGTTGTATATGATTTTGCTTTTGATTGTCGGGGTTTAGGTACTATGTCCCCTACTGTATGTTTTTTATTCAAGTAATATAATATGGGCGTGAGGGCCTAGCCCCCCAGCTTCGACTGGGTTCCAGCCCTCGTTAAATGTTTCTTTTCAATATATGTTGATGTATTGAAAAAAGGCACATTTTGAATGTTCGTCCCGAGCACCAGAAAACTCAAGACCGGCCCTCATTTGAAGGGCGAGGAAGCAATCCACCCACGCAACCTTTTGTTTTGCAGAATATAGCTTTAGCAATTTCAGTCAATAAGGGTGTAAAATGTTGTTAAGAGAGAACCCCACGGAAGTGTAAAAGTGTGCAAGGTGCATGACCTTGTACGCTAACTTGCCCTTTCAATTTTGAAAGCTGAGAAATTGTGTTAAAAAAAACAATGAGGCAGAAACAATTAAACAATATGCTTCTACCATGGCCACTCCTTTTCCATTGAATCAAACGAAGGGTTCATATTACTAAAGGGTCTTAGACCTTAAAGCTTTCCCGATCGTTGAATTGCTGCTTCCAAAAGACATAGGAAAAACTTCGTACATTAGAAACAGAGCTTGAAAGTTAAACTCTAAACCATTCCCCTCGACTGACCAAATGTGGTGATCATAGAGATGAATGCTTGGAGTCGAAGCAACTGCCTCATGGAGTCGAACATCTTACATGTCTTCGAGAATTGCACGTACTAATTTCTCATAAGCAGATTGAGTGAAATTATACGCGCACGGAGAAGGATGCTTGGATCGTTCCAAGCTTATATGGTTTTTACTGTGTCATAATACTTGCACAAGGAAAGTATTTCTTGTAGAATGTAGTTGCAGGATTGTGTTGGAGACCAAGTGAATTAAAAACAACACCCCAAAGCAAAGCGAAGCAAAGGACAACAGAGATCAAACAGCATAGTAAAGCAAAGCATCGATCCAAATAGGCACCGCGCATCCAAGATGGGGCTTTCTCTAGTGAACAATGGAACAAAAACAGTTGGATCAATTGGTCCATAAAACAGGATCGATCCCTTCTTGTTTCATTAATGTCACCAAGTTAGTTGTGTATCATCCAAAACCAAGACAAGCAAAGGGTTTTTCCACTCAGAAATAACAACATTAGAATATTCCAAGTATATAAAGAAACACAACCACCATTAGAATGACAGTGAACGGAATGTGCGTGTTCAAAGACATACTTACAGACCGACTGCAGAGTGCAAAAACCCAAAGAATATAAAGAGGACAGCAACATTCCAAGACAAGACTAGATATAAACCATCCAACAACAGCAGCGTCCCAATCCTCAGCATCAGCAAGATCCTGAGGACAGAGGACCTGCAGGAGGGCGAGCGGCCTTCAGAATAGAGTTCATTATTGCAGTCATCTTGCTCTTATTCGGGCAGTCCTTGATCTTGTGGTCCCGGAGCATTTTACAACAACCACAAAACATGATCCTAACAGCACGCTTCCCACCACGTAAGTTAACTATTTCATAGCCCTTGGGAGCCTCAGTTACGTTGTCTGGGAGGCCTACTTCGATGTAGGGGCATCTATCATTATAGTGGCCAACCACTCCGCAAACTTCACAAGGGACTGTGAATTTGAAAGGTCCACCAAACTTTACAAGGGGTTGTGATTTTGGAGTAGTAGTATTCTCCTCGTCAAGTTGGAGTTGAGCCATAGCCTCTTCAACCACCTTTTCTTTTTTGAGTTGAGTCCGAGAGTCTTTAACACCCGTTTTCTTCATATCTGCGTGATTGAGGAAATGTAGACAGAGATAAATTAATATATATACATATATAGAGGTATTGTGTGTGTGTACAAGCTAAGTAAGTCATATGCATTCAGGCCGGACACTTAATGACTATGTATTCTCGACGTAATTAAATCATCAAATACTTACTACTAATGCTTCATGCTAAATTACGTTATACTGTATCTGGGCTAATTTGTTAGGATAACCTAAATATGTATAAATAGCTACTTGGAAATCCAATGTAAATTGAGAATTTGTTGAGAATAAATTATACGGGCAAATCAAACAGAATTGCGAATATACCTAATTGATTGTGAAATCAAAATCTTGCTTAACTACAAAATTTGGTATAAAATTCTACTCAGTAACCAGGCAAATTAAACAAAATTGCTATACATAATTGATTCTGATATGAATCCCTAGAGCTATTAACAATTAAATGAAACAAAAAAAAAATACATGGGAATTATAATGAACGCAACAAATTAGGCATCTCGTTAATTAAATTCAAGCACCATAACGTTTAAAACATATGCATCGAGTTAATTGAGCTACAATTCGAAATTAGATATAATTTCTTCCTCCTCAGGAACCCTAAAACCAAAAGAAACATGCAAAAATGCATACCAAGAGAAGAGGGAGGAGTCCGTATCTCACCTCGGAGTTTCATCGGTTTGGCTGGATTTTTCCCCCGCTCGGATTCTGATCCTGGTCCGGCTACTCGGCGGCTCACGGTTTTGTCCGATAGAGATTTATTTTGGACGAAGAGAGAGATTGCAAGAGTTGAGCTTGAGGATTTTGGCGGGGGTAGTTTGTGTGGTATATATACTATATTTTTCCTGCGATTTGACAATAATACCCTTCATAACCTATTTACTGTCGTGTCGTGGGTTAGAGTCGGTGTACTCGATGTGTTTATTTGATGGGCCTATTCACACATCTATTTTTATTTTTTACATTTTTTTTTAATTTTTGACCATTGAATAGAATAAATTAAGGAAGATCAATAATCAAAATTTCAATTAACAGTAAAAAATTAATAAGGTTGTGTAGAAGTTAAAATAGATGTGTGGTTAGCATTATCCTATTTGATTCAACAAGATATGGTTAGCTCAGTTTCTAGACGTCTCAGCTATGAGTCCTATAAATTTAAAGCAGTTTGTTTCTACCATCCAACAACTTAGATTTTTACAGTTCCGTTTCGATATGAGGCAGTATATGACGCCATAATTCATCCTCCTCGTCCTCGCTAGAGGCGGATCCATTCAGGGACCTAGGTGGTCCCAGGACCCTCCAAAGGTCCGAAGAAGTAGCCGTAACAGCTTTCGAGGACCACCCGAACATGGTGGAGGAGAGGTATCAGCAGCGGTTGTTGGCTGTGCAGGCTGCAGCAGATGGAGAATGAAGAAGAAATTGTTCCCCTTTTAAGCGAATGGGCTAAAATGACTCGTTTGGATCCAATGCATTTAAAAAAACATGTGCACTTCTTTTTAATAGCCACGTGATTCTCTTTTTTAAATATAATCCCCTTTCATTTTCTTTGCAGACCCCTTAATGCCCAATGCCCAATAAGCCCAATGTGCTTTTTCCTCCTATTCCAATTCCCTTTTTCCTTCTACCAACCAAGCCACCATCACCTGCTCCGCTCTCTCCTCTCCATCACGACCTAATTTCCTAATTTCTCCTTCTTCTTTTTATAATGTCCTAATTTCTAAGTTTAAATAATTTTTTTAGTCTTAATCCAAATTAATAATATAAAATGCTATGAAAATTGATGTGTATTGAATGAAAATTTTAGATCCCTAATATATTATAATAATCATAGATTGTAATTGATGTTGTTTTGATATTAATTTGATCATGTGTTGGTTAGTTTATATATAGACACACTTTAGTTTCATTAACTGATATAATGTTTTGTTTAATAATTGATGTGTATAAATTGGAAGTATAAACGGTATAACACGCGAAAATTATTATCGATTAGTTTGGACAATGTTATTCCGAATAGTTCAACTCTAATTTCGGATGTTTCCAATCCGACCGAATTGTTCAACTCCAATGTTGGGACCACCCAATATCAAAAGTCTGGATCCACCAGTCCTCGCAAAGGGGTTTTTCACTCAGAAATAACAACAGCAGAATAAATCTAAGTATATGGAGAGTACAACTAACCATTAGAATGGGTAGAATAAATCCAAGTATATAGAGAATACAACTAACGTTAGAATGAAGACGGACGGAACGTGCTTGTTCAAAGACATACATGACATACATGACATACGTACATACAGACCGACTACAGAGTGCTCAAACCCAACGAAAATACGGAGGACAGCAACATTCCAAGACAAGAGTAGATATAATCATCCAACAGCGGCAGCGTCCCAATCCTGAGCATCAGCAAGATCAGGAGGTGAGAGGACCTACAGGAGGGGCCTTCCGAAGGGAGTTTTTTCGTGCAATGATTTTGCTCTTATGCGGGCAGTCATCGTTCTGATGGTCAGCACTGATATGACAATAACCACATACCATACTAACAGTGGCCATTGTTTGGAACACGTATCATGTAGGGGCAATCATCATTAAAGTGGCCAACCACTCCGCAAACTTTACATGGGATTGTGAATTTGAAAGGTCTAGTAAATATATATAGCTACTTGAAAGTCCTACGTAAAGTAGGAAATTTGTTGAGTTAATTCTACACAAGTAACGGGGCAAATCAAACAGAATTGCGAATTGCGAATGCACTTAATTGATTGTGAAACCAAAATCTTGTCTAGCTACAAAATTTGGTTTAACATTCTACTCGGTGACCAGGAAAATTAAACAAAATTGAGATACCTAATTGATCCTGACATGAATCCCGAGAGCTATTAATAATTAAATGAAACAAAAAATAATAATACATGGGAATTATTATGAACACAAAAAATTAGGCATCACGTCAATTAAATTCAAGGACCGTAACCCTAAAAACATATGCAGATTGAAAACCGAGCCCAATTAATTAAGCTGCAAATTCGGAATTACAGATAATCTTCTTCTTCCTCATAGACCCTAAAAACAAACACAAACAAAATTGAAAATCATAGCAAGAGATAGGAGTCCGGATCTCACCTCGGAGTTTCTTCGGTCCGGAGGGGGACTTGAAATTGGATCTGGTGACTTCGAGTCGGCGGTTCCCCATGGTTTTGATTGAGACCAACTTCAATGGTGGGCTAAAAGCCAAATTTCCCCCCAAACCCAATCCAACCCAAGGGGAAAATTTGGACTAAATGCTAAATGTTAAACCAAGGCCAGATTCCTCCCAAAATTTAACCCAAAAATCGGATTGGGCTCCACCAAACCGAGTGAAAAGGGGCGTTTGTGCGCCAAACGCAGCCCACCCACTCGCCCAACTCGCGCGATGCCTCAGACAGCAAGGGCCCCACCCATGTGGGCTTGTCGGCCACGTTCCGCAGCGCCTCCAACGGCTACTTCCATCCAACAGTCACGATCTACAGGCCGTTGGTTAATCCAATGGCCTAGATTTAATTTTTTTTTTTTTAAATTTATATATTATTGAATCCAACGATTGAGATCTAATATAATCAAATATAACGGTAAAAAATAGAGATCTAACTGCCCAAATTTAAATCCAACGGCTAAAATAATTTAAAAAAAATTATTTAACTCAAAATTCACCCAATGTTGAAGGATTGGTGAAAGTTGAAGGCTTGCTTTGTGAAAAATTTAATAATTTTTCAATATTTATCGGAATTTAAACTTTTTTAGATTAAAATGTTCATAAAATTAATTTACGATAGTCTACATATTTTTTTTAAAATTAATTTAACAAAAAAAAAAACCTAAATTCATTCTTTAATAATATCGGGCTAAACTTTTAGGCCGGAACGGTTAAAAAATGTCGTACCCAGTGCACAAGCTCCCGCTTTACGCAGGGTCTGGGAGAGGTGAATGTCGGCTAGCCTTACCCCCATTTATGGAGAGGCTGCTCTCAAATATTTTCTAGGCCGGAACGGTTGAAGCAGAAAATTGTTTCTAGGCTAAAAGCTAAATTTTTCAGACTAAAATATTTAGCTTTTAGCCCAACCATTGGAGATGGTCTGAGAGAGAGAGAGGCGAGCGAATTTGAGGCTTCTGGGGAAAAGGGCGCTAACTAGGTGTTTTTATATACCATACTTTTTCATTTATTTGACCATAATGCCCTTCACATTTAACCGATTGGCTGTCTGCGGTGCATTGTCATATAAATGCCAGATCACTCCTCCTCGGATCATCTCTAATTCTTGGGTTAAAATCTAAAATTTTTAACTCAAAAAATTTAGATTTTAACATAGAAATAGTTTTTCTCCTCCAACCTTTAAGGGGTTAAAATATTAGCCCGATATTATTAAAGAATGACTTTAGGATAATTTTTTTCTTAAAGTAACTTAAAAAAAATATTTAGATTCCGATAAATATTGAAAAATCATTAAACCGACATCATGAAACCCATGGAACACTACCAAAGAATATGAAACACGTAAAATTTTATTTTTAATTACTTTAGCCGTTGGATTTAAATTTGGACCGTTTGATATTTTTTTTACCGTTAGATTTGATTAAATTAGATATTAACCGTCAGATTCAATGAATTTACAAATCTAAAACTACAAAATATATACATATATGGTGAGTCAACCTCACTAACCCAAGGGAGAATCCTGGGCTAAATTTGCCCCAAAATTGAGTTTTGAGTTTTAACTCATATTTGCCCCAGTGGTTGGAGCAAGTTAGGGTAAGTTTAGAACCTAAAATTTAAGTTTTACTCCAAAGGTTGGAGTAGGTCTCAAGAAGCGATATTCAATTTGCAGGGATATAGTTAGGTATATTAACTAGTTGAAATTTTCATTTTTCAAATTTTCACCCAATAATATTATTACGTTTTATATACTAGACTATGTTCCTATCACACGGAAAAAAAAATTCATCCGAAAAAGTACTTAACAATGAAAATTTTTGGAACCTTCTACATGCACAAAGACAATAATTGATGGGCTTCAAGAGAAGAAAAAAGCTTGGGTTGTTAGTTTAGAAAAAATTAATATTAAAACATTTTAAGTTGCACTCGCTAAACTAACATTTGGGTTATTTAGTTAGCTACAATAACAAAAATTTAAACATGTGTTGGAGTATGAATTCGTCACAAGACTCTCAACCAAGTAGAATAACTTAAAGCATGTGGGTAGGGTTTTAGGATTGATCATGTAACTTATCTAACCATGCGATAAGATGCTATCCCATCTTCATTTATTTTCTTCTAGACTTTTATCGACGTCGACATTTATAGAATTGAAAAACTAATAGTATCAATCATGTAGACGACATGTCAATAATAATGTATCAATATGTTTATATCAATATTGAACGGTTCGACGACCCACTTGTGTAGAAAGTCTTACACTAAATTTTCTCCTTCCCATAAGCACATAGAATTATTTGAATAAGTTCTTAAACATGTAATGGAATTCATATTGAAGAAAGTTGAGGTTCAAACATAAAACCAATTGGTAATATGAGGAGGTAGCCAAACATTTTATAAGCCCTTGCAAGATTCTAAAACCAATTTTTGGAATTTGATGGGAGTGGAACAGCCTTTGTTGCTATTGTACTCTTTTCTGGAGTTGGTGTGGCAGTAGAATCAAGGATTACATATCTTCCTCCATTGACCAAGAGTGATATTCTTTCTTTTTTGTATTGTTTTATTCAGTTCTAGTGTTTTTGTTACTTTATTGTTAATATCGTTTGTTTTTGTGTTT